GCCATGGAGCTAGCGGAAATGCAGTGTTCCTCTAATCCACCATCTTGAATCTTTGTCTGCTGGTGCTCTTTGGTGTAACTAAGCCTGGATGGCAACATATCTGTTAACATCAAGATTTACTATTTTATGCCCACTGTTAAGACCTTTCCTTAGAAAAAGTTCCTTTCAAAATACTACTGCTGCTCATAGACAATGTACCTGGTCATACAAGAGTTTTGATGGTGATATAAGGTGAGATGAACATTATTTTGATGCCTGCTAACAATGTCTTTCTGCAGCCCATGGAACAAAGTGTAATTTCAACTTTTAAGTCTTACTGTTTAAGAAAAATATTTTGGAAGGCTATCTCTCTCTGTTATGACTGAGATTCCTCTGATGGATTTCAGCAAAGTAAATTGAAGACTTACTTTTTGGAAAAGATTCACTATTTAGCTATCATCAGAACATTTTTGATTCATGGAAGGGGGCCAAAATATCAACATTAACAGGAATTTGGAAGGAGTTGATTCCAAATCCTCATGGATGACTTTGAGAAGTTTAATACTTCAGTGGATGCAGTAACTGCAAATGTAGTAGAAATAACAAGTTAATCAGAATTAGAAATGGAAATTGAGGATATGACTGAATTGTTGCAAACTCATGCTAAAACGTTAATGGATAAGGAGTTTCTTTTTATGGATGAGCAAAGAAAATAGTTCCTTGGGATAGAACCTGCTCCCAGTGAATATACTGTGAAGATTGTTGAAATGACAATGAAAGATTTAGAATATTACAAAAACTTTGCTGATAGAGCAGCCACAGGCTTTTAAAAAGTATTAATGCCAATTTTAAAAGAAGTTCCACTGTGCCTAAAATGCTAGCCAGCAACATACTATGCAATAGAGAACTCCTTCGTGTAAGGAAGGGTAAATTGATGTGTCAGACTTCATTATTGTTCTATTTTAAAAATAGTGCCATGACACTATATCAACCTTCATCAACCACCATCCTTAACAGTCAGCAGCCATGAACATCAAGACAAGACCCTTCTTCAATAAAAATACTAAAACTTACAGAAGGCTCAGATTACCAGTTTTAGTGAGCAACTATTTTCAAGTAAGGTTTGCATTGTTATTTAGACATAATGTTATTGCCACTTAATAGACTATAGTACAGGGCTGGGGATGCAGCTCAAGCGGTAACGCACTTGCCTGGCATGCGCAGGGCGCTGGGTTCAATCCTCAGCACCACATAAAGATAAAGATGTTGTGTCCACCGAAAACTAAAAAATAGAAAAATAAAAAAATAGACTATAGTTCAGTGTAAATCTAATTTTTATGTGAACTGGGAATCCAAAATATTCATTCAACTCACTTTATTGCAATATTTGCTTTATTATGGTGGTCTGGAAATGACCCTGCAATATCTCCAAGGTGTATAAGTCCAGTTGGTTTTAGCTTGGTCAACTCCCCCAAGCAGTGCCTAATCTCCAGGAAAGGAGGAAGATTGCCTCAATTAATAACTGCAGCAACATGGTAGAGCATAAAAGAATAACTGCATAAAAAGGCTTCCTGGGGAGATTGGCATAACTGAGACTTCTGGAGACAGCTAGGAATGAAGAAGCACAGGGACTGTTCCTATCAGTCTCACAGAAAGTATCTTAGCCATCCCCAGCAGCCTGCTCTGTGGACTTTGGCAGCTTTTGCTCTGATGACCTCAATGGGCCCAAGGAAGCTGCAAACTCTTTGCGGAGTTCTTTTAGTAATCCATCCAGGTATCCACAGGGACCCCAGCAGCTGCTCAACAGAAGTCATCAGCAGTTTTTGTCACTGAGGTAACCCAGAACAATGGCCACCATAGATCCCAGTAGAGGACAATACTGCTGCATTCCCCCACCCACAAGAAGGGGAAATTCATGTACCAACCCCATCAACTAGGGGCTTATCTGAGTGCCAAGTTGTTACCATGTTGTGGGAGCACTTGTCCCTGTGCAGCTGTCATTGCTGCCCCAGACCTCAGAGTCTCTGTTGTTGATCCACAGGCATCTGGCTGTATGGCCACTCCATGGAATTCACAGCAATATGCATCAGACACTGGTGAGCTGTTAATACAAGCCTGTGAGCTAGGTCTATCACCAAGAGGTATTCTTTCTGATAAGAATTTCCTGGTGGGAGAAAATCAGATCATGAAAACTCTAATAGCTTTCTCTGCCTTGCTGCAAACACCCGCAACCTTAGCCACTGAGGTCCCTGCAATCTTCAGCATCAGTGACCTCAGCTAATGGAGCTGCAGGAGACTCAGAAACATTCTCCCAGTGGAACCAAATGAGGTCATCCCATCTGGTTCCCAGCATATCTTAAGATAGTTAAGAAGAAGACTAAAACATCCAAGTATCTGTTCCAACTGCTAGAAAAGACAGTTAGGAAGAAATGAGAGGGAGGGGCTGAGAAGGGTGCTGAACCACTCCCTTGTGGTTCTGCAAGTGTACATCTTACGCCCTTGTGGTCCTAACTGGTAGAATGACTTTCCATTATGAGGAAAAATAGAGGAACAAACCATCTCCCTCTTATATTAAAAAATGTTAGGCATAAGCAGGGCCTGAAAAATTGTGTCCCCAGATGACTTGGGTTCATTGTAATATCATTTACATCATGGTTTTGCTCCCTCTTGTAGGTTCTGCTTATGTGGTCCTGGGTTAGTGCTGGAACATTGGGCATCGAGTTACCTAACATGTATGTGTCAATCAAATGACCTAGCAAGATAAAGAGGGACCTAATTTATATCCTCACTGGCATAAGAATAATCACAGATGCAGGTAGAGGTGCTCATCCCCTTTTGACACAGACTGCTCCACTTCCTTTGGGGTGTACTTCCTTGCTTTGCTAATAAACTACAAACCACTGCTTCTTAAACCGCTTATTAGAGTCTGAATCTTTCTGCTAGACAGACAAAAACATAGAACCTCTAGCAGTTGTGTAGCACCATACAGCCAGTGACACAACCTCAGTAATAAGAAACTTAAAGTCAGTAACAAGAGGAAAACCGGAATGTTAACAAATAGGTGAAAATTAAAAATCAAATCCTCAAATAGTCAATGAGTCAAAGAAGAAATCAAAATACCAGAAAGGAAAAAAAAATACCAGAAGGCAAATTAAAATTAAACAACATACCAAAACGAAAGCAATACAGCAAAAGCAGTACTAAGAGGGAAGTTTATAGTGATAAATACCTTCATTCAAAAAGAAGAAAGATCACAAATAAACTTTATACCTCAAGGAACTAGAAAAAGAACAAACCAATCCCAAAGTTAGCAGAAGGAAAAAAATAACAGATCAGAGCACAAAGAGAGATTTAAAAAATAGTGAAACGAATGACAAAATATACTTTATTTTTGAAAAGAAACAGAATTGGCAAATCTTTAGTTAGACTAAGAAAATGAGAGAGAAGACAAATAAAATCAGAGATGTAAAAGGGACATTACAAGTGAAACCACAGAAATAGAAAATATCACAAGAGACTACAATGAACAATTATAAGCCAACAAATTAGATAACCTGGAACAAATGGATAAATTCCTAGGCACATATAATCTACCAAGACCCATAATGAATGGAAAATCTGAACAGAACAATAATAAGTAATGAGCTTCAATCAGTAATAAAAATCTTCCCATCAAAGCAAATCTAAGGACCTAATGTCTTCATTGCTATAATCTACCAAACATTTAAAGAAGCAATATCAACACTTCTCAAGATCCTTCTAAAAACTGAAAAGAGAATACTTTCAAACTCATTTTAAGAGCACTACCTAGACACTAAAGTTAGACAAAACCATGACAAGAAAAGAAAAATTATAGGCCTCCAACCCTGGTAAAATACATGCAAAAATTCTCAAAAAATACCAACAGACTGAATTCAATGACATGAAAAGAATCACATCTCATGATCAAATGGGATTTTATCCCAGGATGTAAAGACAGTTCTACATATACAAATAAATAAATATAATGCATTAGCAGAATAAAGAACAAAAACCATATTATCATATTAATAGATGCAGAGAAAGAATTTGTCAAAATTTAATATCTCTTCATGATAAAAACCCTCACCAAGTTAGGTGTTGAAGGAATGTATCTCAACACAATAAAAACCATATAGGACAAACATACAACTAGCATCATACTCAGTAGGAAAAATTGAAAACTTTCCCTCTATCAAGAACAAAACAAGGATGCCCAGTCACCACTTTTATTCAACATAGTATTGGAAGTCCTCGTCAGAACAACTAGGCAAGAGAAAGAAAGAGAATGCATCCAAAATCAGAAAGAGAGGTTATTAATTGTCTTTGCAGACAATATGATCATTTATATAGACAACCCCCCAAACTGTTAGACCCCCAAAACCATTGAGATCAAAAAACTCAGTAAAGTTGGAAGTTATAAAATCAACCTACAAAAATCAGCTGTATTTCTATACAGCAGTAGTGATCTACCCAAAAACAGAAATCAAGAAAACAATCCTGTTTGCAAGATAATTTTAAACATGTAAGAATAAATTTAATCAAGAAGATAAAAGATTTATACATGATCAAAATTGAAGAAGACATAAATATATTCCACATTGTCCAATGTTCAAACATTGGAAGAATTAAACAGTCCATATTATTCAAAGTGATCTACAGATTCAATGTAATACTTATAAAAATGAAGCTGGAGAATATTATGCTAAGCGAAATGAGCCAAATCCAAAAAAACTAAAGGTCAAATATTTTCTCTGATATGCAGATGCTACTTCACAATAAGAGGGGAAGGCACCTAGGTTAGAATAGAGGTACTTTGGATTAGGCAGAAGGAAGTGAAAGGTGGGGAGGGGGTATGGGAGTAGGAAGAATAGAATGAATCGAACATTATTACTCTATGTGCATATATGAGTACACAGCTGGTATAACTCTACAACATGTACAACCAGAAGAAGGAGAAGCTATATTCCATTCATGTATGATGTATGAAAATGCACACTTACTATTCCACAGGCTGACCCACTCCGCCAGGATGCACGCACCAGGCTGACCAACTTGGCACTGCCAGGGTGCGCTTGCAGGACTGCTCAACTTGGCTTTGCCATGCTGCACAGGTGGTCAGCCCGACTTGCTCCACCATGATGCGCATGCTGTACAAAAACTTGAATCCGTCGTGGCAGCATTCAGAGCCCTATGAGAAAAGAAAATCTCCTTATCTCTCATTGGTGAGTGGGAAAACTGGATTCACACCCAAGCATTCTCTGCCTTTGGAGTGCCTGCAGTTAATTCCTCTGACTACCTCTGTGTGGCCATTGTTTTGTGGAGTATATTTTCAGGCTCAGTGAGGGCAGGTTGATGATTATTTGATTCTGTCAGCTCCCAGAAGAGCAGGTATGATGGCTAAATTTCTTACCTGCGAAGATCACTAACTACATTAATCTTAGTCCAGCATTAACATTACTATTAGAGTATTATTTATGAAAAAGCTATTGTTTATTTATCATATGATATTCAATATTTTTATCCTTAACATTTAAACTTAAAATTTTATATGTAATTTGTACTTATATTTTATAAGAAAAAAAAAGCTGTCACTGATTTCTGAATGTGGTTATTGTGTTTATTTCTGCACTATTTATGGTATAAAGTAATGGATTTGAAATGTGCCTCTTTGCGTATATCCAGTCACCAGTTGGGCCTTTATTGCCTAGTGAACTGATTTGGAAAAGGATCTTTATCTGCCTCTGGTGCTCACAGTGAATATGCTCTGTGTCCCAGGCCCTGGATTCCACTTCCCCTCAGCCTCCAGAGTCCAAGGCTGGACTGGGACTATGCTCTGGGGCTATGGCTGTAACTGCAGTGTCTGTAACTGCAGCAGCTGTCAGTGCACACTTTTATTCTGCTGCTGGCTCCTTCCCCTCAGGCATTTAGGTCTGCCTTGGCCTGATGTGGGCCTGCACCCGCCTCGTCCTGCGGTCTCCTCAGCAGCAGCTGCGTCTCCTCCTACCCAGCTCCGCACACTGCTCTGCTACTGGTACCGCAGAGCTACAGCCAGGAATCCAAAACTACCTACCTGGAGGACCTTCTACCACTCTCTGAGTATGAATTGGCCCCATCCGAGTTAGAAGAGCAGGTGGATGATGTTTATCTCATTGGAGCTCAGGGGTGCCTTTGTCATGTACTGTGGAAGATGTGCTTACTTTTTCCTCAGACAACAGAATCTGCAATAGTGAGAATGGAATACATTTCCCTTTAAATAAAGATGGGAAACAAAGGGGTGATGCCTTAATTGAAATGGAGTCAGAGCAGTATGTGCAGAAAGCCTTAGAAAAGCACCATATGTACATGGGTCAGCCATATGTGGAAGTATATGAGATAAATAATGAAGATGTGGATGCCTTAATGAAGAACCTACAGGTCAAGTCATCACCTGTGGTGAATGATGGTGTAGTTCATTTAAGAGGACTTCCTAATAGTTGCAATGAGAAAGACATCATAGACTTTTTTTTTTTTTTTTTGGTGGTGCTGGGGATTGAACCCAGGGCTTTGTGCATGCTAGACAAGCACTCTACCAACGAGTTGTTTCCCCAGCCCCCAATCATAGACTTCTTTGCAGGACTGAATATAGTGGACATTACTTTTGTGATGGACTATAGAGGGAGAAGAAAAACAGGGGAAGCATATGTGCAGTTTGGAGAATCAGAAATGGCCAACCAAGAAATTGGTAACTTTATATAGAGATATTTACAAGCAGAAGGAATGAAGAAGAGAACCCATGTTGGCTATCATAAGGGAAAGAAAATGGCATCTTCTCCTACTGCTAAGTATATAATTGAGCCAGAAATGGTCTTTGAAGAACATGAAGTAAATGAAGACATTGGACCCATGACTGGTTCTGAAAAATTGCCTAAGGAGATTTCAGAAAAGCTTCCAGAGGCTGATGATTTTGGAACTACGTGTGCCTTCATGGCATTTTGTCCACATGAGGGGATTACCTTTTCAAGCTAATGCCCAAGACATTATAAATTTTTTTGCTCCTCTGAAGCCTGTGAGAATCACCATGGAATACAGTTCTAGTGGAAAGGCTCCTGGAGGAGCTGATGTGCACTTCGATACCCATGAGGATGCTGCTGCAGCTAGGCTCAAGGATAGGTCCCATGTTCACCATTAAGGTCCAAAAGGAAAATAAAACTTCCAGGGACCCCAGATAGTAAAGATGAAGCAAGAAGCATTTCATTTGCACATCTTTCTTGGACATGGGCTATCAAGTTTCTGTTAATTGGCAGCAACTGCAAGAGAAAGGATTTTGGGTTTGGGGTTAATGCTTCTAAGAAAAATTCACACTGAACTGTTGAGAAGGAGAAAGATTCAATTTGGTATTATGAAATAAACCACAAATCTTAAATTTTTGTTTAAACTATTGAGGATCTGATTAAGAAACCCTGATTACTTCTTTTTTAATATAATTAAGCAGTTTTTGTTTTTATAGAGGATATGTTATCCATTGTAAAGACTACATATATTTATTCAGTACTATCTTTATAATCTTTTTCTCATTTAAAAAATAATCTGTTCAAGGTTTCGATTTTGCCTATGAGTTGAGAACTCTGATGTAAAGCTTCTTATGAATGAATAATATTTTATTGTAACCAAACACTCACCAAAGCAAGGAAAGGTTTCAGACCTTTAAACCACTATGGTATGGCAGAATAGTTTTAATTTTAGCTATATTTGATTATTTACATAGGGGTAGCAATTAAAATAAATAAATACCACAGGTTAGTGAGTATAAACGACAAATTGGCAGTTTTATGTCTTTAGAAATAGTTTGACTTTCTAAACCTTGTGATTAAAGACATTTAATATTGGTGCCTGTTTAGGGGGAAGGCTAGTCTCAATTTAAAAGTTGACCCCCCCCTTTCTTTTTTTTTTTTTGTTTTAGGTAAACCTTAAGGGTGTTTGTTAAATTTTGAAACTGTAAAGTGATTGTCAAAATAGTCCAGACTTGGAGGGACATCAATGACTTCACTTGATTTAAACCAGCTCTAGACAGGAGAAAAATCTGTCTCCTGATTTGATTTTTCAATGCAGTAGCACATCCCATATTTTAGAACAAGTAGGGGTGCCTTGCTTTAAATAAAAATAGCATTTAATGTAAAAAACAAATGCACTCTACTGTCATGTATAACTAATTAGAACAAAAAAACTATGAAAAAAATATTTCAGTAAATCACATTATTTAAGCATTCATCTAACTTACACATATATAAGCAAACACGAAGAGATAAAGAGAGGACAAGTAAAAATGTGTAAAGTCAGACAGTTCAACTTAGGTTCCCTGCAAACAATGAGAATGAAAGAGTAGAATTCCATCCCTTGTTCTTCATTCATTTTTTATAACAGTGGGCCCTGTAGGAGTGAAAGCATTTCAAAGCACTAAATTTGGGTCTTGGTAGTCAAAAAGAGTCTTTGCCTAAGGTGGCCTCAAATATGAATTTACCACTTTGCCTACTACCAAGCTGATGAACTGGTCACTTCCTCCAAAGCTGGAGATTTTAACCTGGCTGTGTTGGACTCACTAAACAACAATTTTCAAAGGAAAATTTGACTAGATGTAATGCTCACATTCTGGGATCAAATTAAAGACTATACCTTGAATACAAGATTAATTTTCCTTGTACATTTTGTTTTATATTAACTATACGATACTGATGAGCAACTGAAAAATTACTAATTCTTAAGAAAGGATTCAAATGCAAGGGATTTTATTTATAAAAAGTCCCAGAACTAAGATATAGGGTTATTTTTTAAAACTGTGCTTGAAATTCTTTTTTAATTGCCTATGTCAAGTTATTATTTAATAACTTGCTTTGAGATGTGGAAATTAATATTTGTACTTCCTTTTACCCTTCCTCATTCCCACTACTTATTATTCATATAACAATTTTGTATTGTCAAGATTTGTATCATTACAGTATGTTCTACAGACAAAATTCTCCATTGTTTTCTGGTCTCTGTTTCCATGGGTTCTACCAATACTCCACACATCATGACATCCTCATTCATCTCTGGATGTCTGAATTTTGTCAACAGTAGATATTTCAGGACTGACTCATTGAAGCCATATAACTTAAAATCCGTTTCACGACTTTCCACTTGAATGACCAAACTACTTGAGATACTGTTTGATACTATTCTAGTATCTTCAGAAACCAATTAGTACTATTAAGAAGACTGAGGCCAAATATATTTTTCCCTGGATAATATTTTCATGTTCTGACCACTGAGTTTTTCTTCCTAAAATTCAATAATTTAACCTACCTATATATTAATGCCAATTATTCTACATTTCACACTTTTTTTCTAAGATAAACTGCCTTTTTAATCTCCAATTTTGTTTTTATTTAGTTGAGAAAGTTGTCTTTTATATATTTGGTCAATGCTTTTCCTATATCTAAAGGTACATAGTAGATGTGCAATAAATACTCTTTGAATGCATAGATATGTTTGAATACTTTTCTGTTCCATTTACTCTGCTGTCTTCTTCTCAAAATCTATTCCATATGTTGATTATGATTTTTCTGTCTTCACTTTGCCTGTTTTTTTAATAATCTTTTAAATATATTTACCCTTTCTGGTTTTTTATCCCCAGGAAGCATATGAAAAGATTTATTATGCTTTATGCTAGAGTACACAAACAAAATGTCCGGGATTTTTGAATTTCAAAATCATAAAATTTAGCATGAAAACATCATTAGTTAAGTGATATTTATACTTAACAACTGGCAAATTGAGGCATTAGAGAAAAGCTGATCTTGATTTTTAAAAAAATTATATATGTCTTTTGCTGGGCACCGTCGCACACACCTATAATCCCAGTGGCTCGGGAGGCTGAGGCAGGAGGATGGCAAGTTCAAAGCCAGCCTCAGCAATGGCGAGGTTCTGAGCAACATAGCGAGACCCTGTCTCTAAATAAAATACAAAAATAAGGCAGGGGATGTGGCTCACTGGCTGAGTGCCCCTGAATTCAATCCCTGGTACAAAAATAATAATTATTAATTAATTAATTAATTAAATGTCTCCTTTGGCAGATAACTGATAGATTGAAGAAAATTTAAGATAAAAATAAGCATCAAATTTCTAACTTAAGTTGATTTATGAATTTCAGATTATGAGTTTTTAGAGCTTACT